AGTTTATTTGACGACTACTTGTCAACCTAAAAACAGATATACGGGGACCGTCCCCTGATTCTGGACCAGAGCCATAAATCGACACCAAAAAGAGACAGGCGGACAGAGCGCTTGGACTGTGGAGGAGGGCAGCAGTGTGCTGTCCAACAACCCTGCCTGACGCACGGAGACGGACAGACGGACAGTCTGATGCCAACTGTCTCCACTGTCAATCTCACGGCACCACTCCTCCTCCTGTTGCTATGGGCAACCCACCCCGCCATGGCAACCAACTGGCTGTAAGTTTAGTGTGCGAGGGAGGAAGAGAAAGAGTTTGTTTGTCATGCTATAACTTTTAAAAGATGGTGACATGTCTCTAAATCTCTTTCTTTGTCTCTCTTCTGGTGACCTTTTACTCTTTTCTTTCTTTCTGCCTTTACTGTGCCCTCAATGTCGTTTTTTGCCTCATTTCCTCCTCGTTTCTGTCCTCCCTAAAACTCTGCCCAGTCGCAACACCTCATCTTTTTGTATCTTCTTCTTCTCCAACTTCCATTTATGCGTGCTTCTCTTTTTGTCCTACAAACCTGCAGTGAATCATCCTTGACACATTTGTGTGTATGTGTGTGTGTGTGTCCCAGCTCCCTGGCGAGGCTGCCTCGCTCCAGGCCTGTGTCTGGAGCTGCTCCATGCGCACGACTGAGGGGGTTGACCCCAGGGCAGGTGGGGGTGTGCAGGGCACGGGGGGAGGTTATGGAGTCCGTACGCAAGGCAGCCGAGATGGTTATAGAAGAGGTATGGCAAGACAGAATTGTTTTATTGCTGTGTCTTAGAGATGTTAGACTGGTTCTGTTTACCTCAGTGTCAGCACCAGTTCAGGAATCGCCGCTGGAATTGTTCCACCACTCCACGTGGGATCAATGTATTTGGCAGAGTGATGAATCAAGGTAAAAATAAAAACTTCACATCCCTACCTTCTCATCCCCTAAAACACAGATTTTTTCGTGACGTCTCTTGTTGTTTTCAGGCACTCGTGAGGCAGCCTTCGTTCATGCTTTGTCCTCAGTAGCCGTGGCAGTGGCTGTGACCCGGGCCTGCACCCGCGGGGAGCTGGAGAGGTGTGGCTGTGACAGGAAGGTCAAGGGGGTCAGTCCTGAAGGTGAGCTTATTCTCTGTAGCTGACTAAGTAAATCCACTCTGGACCACACGGAGAAGAAAACTGCTACAGCTGTTTTGTTTGTTGGTGGGATCTTTCAAGCATGTTGCTGTCAGTTTGTTCATACTTAAAATAAAATAAGTATAAAGGCTGCAATAATGCATATAGCCATTATAACCATTTTGTTCCTCCTCAGGTTTCCAGTGGTCAGGGTGCAGCGACAACTTGTCGTATGGTGTGGCTTTTTCCCAAACATTTGTGGATGAACCGGAGCGGGCTAAGGGGCTGTCAGCAGGACGCCCACTCATGAACCTCCACAACAACGAGGCCGGTCGAAAGGTTGGCAGCATCAACAGTAGTTCTGATTCTCCTTCCTGTAGGACTCTCTTACGGTTTATCTGCCTCCCATTCTTAGGCCATCCTTCACAACATGCAGGTGGAGTGCAAGTGTCATGGCGTCTCTGGGTCATGCGAGTTGAAAACTTGCTGGAAGGTCATGCCTCCGTTCAGACGTGTCGGCGTCGTGCTTAAAGAACGCTTTGATGGAGCCACAGAGGTATTAGAACATCCTTTCTGCTTGTTTTGTGTAGCTGTTGGCCAGATTATAAAAACGATCCATTATGACATCATTGTCCTTCCAGGTCCGATTGACTCGTATTGGATCAAGGCCAGCTCTTCTCCCCCGTGACCCCCATGTCAAACCCCCTGCTGCCAGAGACCTTGTGTATCTTGCACCCTCCCCAGACTTCTGTCATCTTGATCCTGAGAACGGCATCCCTGGGACTGCTGGACGGAGATGCAATGGTAGAATCACCAATACCCGCTCACAAAAAAATGCCCACAATTCCCACCCATAAATAAGAATTTAGAAACTGATGTGTCCATCTTTTGAAACGCATCCAGGTACGTCTCGGCTGGCACCCGATGGCTGTGAGCTGGTGTGCTGCGGACCAGGGTACAGAGCGGGCCGAGCTGAGGTGGTGCAGCGATGCTCCTGCAAGTTTTCGTGGTGCTGCTCAGTTCGTTGCCAGCAGTGCAAGAACACAGTCACCATTCACACCTGCAGAGTGTAAAACTGTTATAAGAGTTTTTTCATTAAATGGTGCCACGTTTGTTCTGAAAAGGCATTTTTGGGTTGATCAGCAGTGTTGAGCTTGTGGTGTCATGAAAACCATGCCAAACTTCTCTCCCAATCCGTTTATTCTGCCATTGACTCTTGGTGCCGTTCACTGGACAGGACAACTGAAGTCTTAAAAAAAACAAAAAAAAAAACAAGATTGTCTCATTGGCACCTGATTTTCAGCTCTTGTGAGCAATCGGTGGCAATCACGTATCGTCACTGTGAAACCTAAATCCATTCTCCAAGATGACTAAGCTCGCCCCCACAGAGCAAGGTTCATCAGAGTCTACCTGCAGAATTTGGGAGTAGAGAAGGTGGAACGGCCAACCTGCAGTCCTGACCTCAACCCCATTTAAATACTTGTGGGACCAATCTGTGTGTGCAGTTTGTTTGAGAATGCCAGATTGTTGTAGCTGTGTATGGTTCTTCCACATGCTACCAAGGCTTGTTAGTTAAAATATTGAATTGTTAACATGTAAATAGCTGTCTTTTTAGACAATCATCCAGTCAATAAAATAAAGACCCAACAAGTGTCAACAGTGTAACAAACTGTTAGCAGAGATTTGACAAGTTATTTTCTTTACAAACGTGGCACCATTTAAGGGGAAGTAAACAGGTTTTTCAAAAGTACATTTATATTCGAGGCAACGTCGCCACAAAGAAGTAATCAACAATACACAACTTTCCGTTCATTATGTGCCAAGTTTGATCATCTTTCTGATGAGGCTCTCTGATGTAAACTGCAAACTAAATTTTAAAAAGCAGAAAAAACAACAAAGTTATGCATTTATCTCAAATTAAAAGCACTGAAACAGACAAAAAGGCACAGATGTTCAAGCGAACACATACGTACAACAGTAACTCAATGACCTGACAAAGCTTTTGAAGCTGAACTTAACCAAAACTAACCAAAATATTGCCACCTTTTTATTGTGTTTTAGAGTAGCAGGTCTTTGAATATTTTACTGTATTTATGTTTCCTTTTTGACTCTGGTTTATTTATTTGTCAGTTTTTGCTTCAATTCAGCCTTGAGCAGTGAGAATAACCTTTACTTACATCAGTGTCGGTTTTGTTTTTGCCCTTCACCCTCATGAGAAATTCTTCAACATGCTCCTGCAGAGGCAGCGCTTTTAGGTCTGCTCAGAAAAATCTAAAATAGTCGATATAGAACATCAGGGTGTCTTTACGTTACTCTTTATCAGTTTTGAGTAGATTTTAGGTTTTTTTTTTCATTAGGAGGATTGGAGGTTTGATCCCCAGCCTCTGCAGCGTGCCGAAGAGTCCTCGGGCAAAACACTAAGACCCCATGGGCTCACATTAAACTCAAAGGGGTACGAGCATTAAAATGTGCTGTACAGAAAGTGTAGAAAACACGACAGGAACCAGTGTATGAGTAGGAACAGGTGACTGAGAAACACTATAAAGCACTTTGCAGAACAATTTTACCAAATTCATAAACAAAATGTTGAAACAAAAACATTTTATCCATTATTTTTCATTCTTGGTAGAAGCCACCAGTTAATTCTTGAGTGCCTCTTTGCACATATCTGGATTCAAACCTTTGATTAGTTTGTCTGTTTAAAATAAAATCATGAAAAACTTCTGCCACTGTGAGCATTTATACCTGTGCAACAATGTGATATCTTTGTGTTGGCCGGCAGATTTGCAATTGTTTAATTCATTTTGACTAACTTTAAAAAATTACCAAATAAAACTGTGGTCCCAAAGAGGATTTATATAAATACTAAAGTGCATTTTTGTAGAACATGCAGTGTGACTGCTGAACCTCTTTGCTGACATTTATTGAAACATTAATGATTATAGTTAAAACGAGCAGAACTGAAAGTAAAAATTAGCAAAGCTGTTTCAAAATGTTGAAAACCAACAAAACTGTTTTAAAAGGTTACATTTAACAAAGCCTAACTGAAAGCTAAAAGCAAAATAGAAGCTACAAGGTTAAAAATATCAAAACAATAGCTAATAGCTAAAAGTAGCAAAACAATTGCTTAAGCAAAATGCAGCAAAACCATAGCTGAAAAACTAAAATCAGCAGGACTGTGGCTAAACTGTAGATAAATGTAGCAAAAGTATAGCTAAAAAGTTTAAAAGGAGTGTGTGTGTGTGTGTGTGGGGGGGGGGGGGGGCAAGTTTTAGGTTTGAGAGAATAAATGTAAATGTAAATAGTTAACTCAAAAAGTAACAGTTAAATACTAAAAAGTCAAAGTGTACTCTTTCAAATATGAATTTGTAAAAAATAAAACAGCCTATAAAGAAGTAGTTTGACTGAAATAACAAACAGGAAGCAAAACAGGAAAACTGAATAATAAATCAGCATTCATGCATTTTCAAATACTTTACTTTGACTTTTGACCTTAAACTTGTTTCTACTAAGCATATTACAGTTTGTCATTTGTGATCTCGTGTAAAAGCTGCCACACTTTCTTATTTGCGCTTTTTATATGAGCAGCAATTTCCTCTCTAATCACAGACCAATGTACTAAACGTACAAAGTGTCAACGAGGGGGGTAAAGGTCTTCCAAACGAGGTTTCGACACAAGGTGGTTGTCAGCAATAAATCTCAGGTTGGAAAATGAGCACTGAGCTTTCTTTCTATAAAGTGCCAAACTTCCACCCATCATACAACAAAATGTATTTTATGGCAGAATCTAACAAATTATAAAGTAGAAAATTGTAAATTGGGACTCCTTTTTATTTTTAGTAAAAGCATTTTATTTAAAAACATCCTGCAAATTAAAACACCCATAAATTCAGCAGAAAGAGTCATCTAACTCCATCAATCAAAAAATATCACAATTTTCTCTTTTTATATATATCACTCTTGGTCGTCTAACAATAAAAACAGGATAAGACAGACAAAATTTAAACAAAAAAATATTTTTTTTCAAGTTTTTAAGATAAAAAAAAGCCTAAAAAGATTCCCCAAAACAACGATTAAAAAAAATAAAAGAAATTCACCGGAAAATGAAAACTTGTGAAAATACATTTCCTCCCTAGAGGATGCTGGGAGTTGGAAAGTAGTAAACATAACAGTTTGTTTGGAGTGATTGGGCTTCATTAGCCGATCCAGCAGGGGCAGAACAGAAAGTACCAGGTAACGTTCAAAGATACTAACAGTACGTATTAAGTGTCCTCCCAATTTCCTTTTACTAAAACATAGTAAGACTAAAAGGTCACTTACTACCAGAAAATATTTTAAAAAGGGCAAAGAACCATGAGAGGATAAGAGGGGACACCTGAATGTAAAAAAAAAATAATTAAAAAGTTTTAAAAATCTTTCAGAAATGGACTTGAGTGGCACTTATTGCATGTTGAAACTTTGCGACTTTAGCCTCAGTTTTTTTTCCAAAGGCACAATTAATCTTAATGGCACTGTACGTCTATAACCCTTTGGTTTTGTCCTTTGTTTAGAAAAAACTTGATCTGTTGAATAATACCACCAATCTCTCACACCGTTACATCGCTCACTGTTGGCATTCCTTTATAGCAGAACACACTTCTTCTTAGATTTGGTCTCAGGAGGTTCCAACGCTGCCAGTATGGCCTCGTCAAATACATTCTTAAGTCCTCGCTGTTTCAGGAGAAAAATTAAAAGAATAAAACCATGAGAGAAGAACAATAGCTGCCTAATTTTCCAAATATGGTGATGTCATTTTAAATGCGAGGTGGAAATTCGTCTCGTACCTGTGTGAGCGCGGAGCACTCCACGTATTTGACAGCTCTGAGCTCACGCGCCAACTTCTCGCCACTCTCGGGGTAAAGGGGACGCTGTTTGTTCTTCGCCAGCTTCTCCACAGTGTTGGTGTCGTCCCGCAGGTCTACTTGTGTGCCCACCAATAGGAAAGGTGTGCTTGGACAATGGTGGGAAATCTCAGGTACCCACTGGAAATGACAAGATTAAAATAAAAAAAATCTGTTCATTAATGAAATATGTCACCCGTGCTGGCAAAATGAGCTTGAAGGAGTGCGGGTTGTTGTGCAAAAAAAGGAAGTATTAATTTTTGCCATAACTCAGATCTGTGTAAAAATGAGTTCATAAAGACATCTACTAATCCCAGTAACTAAAAAAGCATATTATCTTCCAAATCTCCCCTTAAATCAAATGCTTTCTTACAGGTATAACCATTTTAATTATAATCCTTTACATCTCCTTCAAAACGTTGGTTACGTATTGTAACCCCAGATAAAACTTGTTAATTTCAATAAACCTCTTTAATATTTTGCTACCGGGCAATCCCTTTGTATAATGTTTGTGTCATGGTGAAGCTTGGCCATTTCCCTTTTTAAATATGTGGATAACATCTCTCCAGACCGATAAAAATTGAGTTTTCAAACCAGCACTTTCAGCATAAAAACCAGACTAAACCCCATTCAAGATGGCCTCCACAGCTAATTTGACTACCGGTAAATCAGCCAGTTTTACGTATATGGTGTGGTAGTAAGTGAGTCATCCAAGTCAAAAGTCATTTTCTTTATTTGTCATACCATACGCACCACATTTGGCACATGTAGTAGAACGAAACTGTGAACACATGATCCCAGTTACATCCAACAAAAGTATAAATTGTAAAGAAAAGCAGTAATAAGATATGAACTAAGAAATATGTTAAACTAAAAATACTCTAAGCGCTAGTAGTACAAAGACAACACGACGAACAGCAGCACAAACATGAGTCTGTGTGAGCAGAGGACTACGAATGAACACAGCAGCATGAAATAAATCAGCAGCATGAGATCAGCAGCATGGATAATCAGCAGCACATATCAACAATCAAGTGGCATTACAGTGATTTTTTTTCCACAGTGATTATCCTGGTTAAAGATTCATGAGTCTAACAGCTTCAGGGTAGAAGCTGTTCCTCAGTCTAGTGGTTCTACACCTAATGCTCCTCAACCTCCTGCCAGAGGGGAGTGGGGCAAAACATTTATAATTAAAAAGTTATCTGTTAAAGCAAAAGGCTGGATGCAGATTCTAAAGGTGATGGGAGTCAAACAAAGTTAGCTTTTGTTTAAACAGTAAACTCACGTCTTTAGTCACTTAAACTCCATATCATAACGAGAAAAACATACATTTATATTCAGCACAAACGAGGCTGATAAAAGTGTGTGCTGGGTTAGTGGTGTCCTTCATGATGCAGGTCTCTTCTTGAATCTGGAGGTGTAAATGTCTGTGATGGTGGGGAGACTGACTCCGACAGTCTTCTGTGCAGCCTTCACCACTCTCTGCAAAGCTTTTCTTTCTGCAGCTGTGCAGCCTCCACGCCACACGTTGAGGCTGGAGCACAGGATGCTCTCCACTGCACACCTGTAGAAGAAGGTGAGGACTGAGCTCCCAGACCAGCTCGCCTCAGCAGCCTGAGGAAGCAGAGTCTCTGATGAGCTTTCTTGATCATTGATGTTGTTGCCCCAGCTGAGGTTGTCATTCAGGTGCACACCCAAGTACTTGTAGCTGAAGACCACTTCCACCACAGATCCTATGTTCGGGGTGGGGGTGGGGTTTAAGTGTGTTTGTTCCTTCTGAAGTCCACAATTATCTCCTTCATACTGATGTGAAGGTTGTTCTTCCTGCACCAGCTCTCCAGGTGTTCCACCTCCTGCCTGTAGCTAGACTCATCATTGTTTGTGATGCATCCAACCACCACTGTATCATATGCAAACTTTACAATATGACAGCCTGGATGGGTAGGTGCGCAGGTGCGGATCCTTATCACATGTTCAGAAAGTTACCAGATCGCTCAAGATCTTTGTTTAAAGCTTTGTTGTGAAAGGTGATGTGGATATAAATGTCTTTAAGGGATGCTACTTTCATATATATAACCAGAAACCTGTTAGAAGATTTAAAACTAATAAACACAAATAGAAACATGTTTGCGATATTACTGAGAGTCAGACTACTTCATTATTAATCACAGTGGGCTATTTATTTGTAGCTTTCTGGTCCACCTTCATTTTCAACACATAGTAGCGACAATCAAGTCAATAAAAACAAAATTCAATTAAAAAAAAAGTAAACTGACACTGAAACACCTAATTCAAATTAAAGTCCATATCGTCTGCCATTTGTCATGTCAAAGATCATGTACTGTGTTGAAAAATTATAAAATTACGGCTTTATTAGTCAAGTTTTGAAAAAAATAAAATAAACTTTATGCACAATCTCCCAATATTTAATATGTTAGTGCTCAGAGCACATGCTGAGGATGACTCTCAGCTACTACCGTATCAAAAATTGTTATAGCTAATTTGGTCAATTAGCAGTGGCGGACATTTTGCAATCGGGTCGACTCCAAAAGTTAATTAGCTGTAGAGGTACATTCAATGATTGCTTTGAGATCAGTTCTATTTTGTTAATCCGTTAACAATACATTTTGCTAACAGATACACAAAAAACAAACAAAACATGCATGCGCGCACACACTGGTTACATGATCCCCCTACTTCCATGACAGCGGACAGTAATGAGCCTTTCAGAGGTTTGTGTGCCTCAGAGCTTTACGAGATGATTTAACAGTCTGTAAAAAGTTCAACACTGTGTTACAACTTTGAATAATTTAGGAAGTTCAGCATGAAAGCAAATAATGTCGTGAATACAGACAACCCCTTTACAGCCTGTGTACAAAGTTAACAGGACTGTAAATGTTTATATCCAGAAGAGAACTGAAAGTTGAAACTAGGTACCACCTACTGATCAACACCACAGCCTTTTGAGGCTGTAAAGTCAGACAGAAAAGCCTGTGCTCACTGAAACAATATATTTTTATGCAACAGTTGCAGGGTGCATGCTCTGCTTGCTCCATTCAACTGGTCTGATCATGTCTACTTTATCACAAGCAAGGTCAGAACAAGCTGAAAAAAAGCTGTAAAGACTAAGTAGGAGCTAAAACATTACTGTATTTTCCGGCCTTTAAGTCGCTATTTTTTCATAGCTTGGCCAGTCCTGGGACGTTACGTACAGTCCGAAGCGACTCGTACGTTTTTTTTTCTTCCTTATTCACGACGCAATTTTTGACTGACGCGTTAAATGTTCATTCATACTGACATGAAACAAAAAGTAAACATTACGGTTTGCAGGTGCAAGAGGGCCCTCTAGGCTTTTGACAACTATATGTTGTTCCTTTACCGCTACCCCCCCACCCCATTTCCTCTGGAGTTGTTCAGAAGCGACACCGAGGAAGAAAATTCAATGGATTCAGAGATGTGGAATGACATTGGTGAATTTACCGGTAACTTGCTTGTCAGACTTGATGGCTTGTTACGTTAATTAAACCTGTTCAGGATCCTGTATGTTCTGTGTGTTATCGTTATTTTAAGATTAAATGTCTGTACTTTGTGAAATAAACTTCTAAATAAATGCAACTTATACTCCGAAGTGACTTATATGGAGGTGGAACACCTGGAGAGCTGGTGCAAAGAGAATAACCTTCACATCAATGTGAAGAAGACAAATGAGATAATCGTGGACTTCAGAAGGAACAAACACACCTACACCCCCTGAACATAAGAGGATCTGTGGTGGAAGTGGTCTCCAGCTACAAGTACTTGGGTGTACACATGAATGACAACCTCAGCTGGAGCGACAACACTACCAGCCTGATCAAGAAAGCTCATCAGAGACTCTACCTTCCTCAGGCGGCTGAGACGAGCTGGTATGAGAAGCTCAGTCCTCACCTCCTTCTACAGGTGTGCAGTGGAGAGCTTCATGTGGTCCAGCATCAACGTGCGGCATGGAGGCTGCACAGCTGCAGAAAGAAAAGCTTTGCAAAGAATGGTGAAGGCTGCACAGAAGTCTGCTGGAGTCAGTCTCCCCACCATCAAAGACATATACACCTCCAGATGCAAGAAGAGGTCCACCTACACCATGAAGGACCCCACTCACCCAGCACACACTTTTTGCCACACTCCCCTCAGGAAGGAGGTTGAGGAGCATTAAGTGTAGAATCACTAGAATGAGGAACAGCTTCTCCCCTGAGGCTGTTAGACTCATGAATCTCTAACAAGGATCATCACTGTGAAATATCACATCATGTTGCTGCTGATCTGTTTCATGTTGCTGCTGATCTGTTTCATGTTGCCGTGTTCATTCATACTCATCTGCACACACACACTCATGTTCGTGCTGCTGTTTGACGTAATGTTTTTATGCTACTAGTGCTTAGTGTATATTTAGTTTTTGTTTTTCTTAGTTCATATCTTAGATCTTATTACCGTTTTTCTTTTACATTTTATTATTGGATGTAACTGGGACCCTGTGTACATAATTTCGTTGCGAACGACAATAAAGAATCTCTGACTCTGATAAAGTTTTTTTCCCTCTTCGTGAGGCGTTTTTTGACGATGCGACCTAGACTCCAGAGCGACGTATAATCCGGAAAACATGGTAAGTGCACACAGACACAGTTCCTGCACTGTGGATTCAAAACAAGAAAACTACCTGAAACGGTGAGAAAAGGTTCCTTCAGTGTAAAAGCACCAATTTAAAACTACAATATGAAAACATATTAAAGCAGAAAAAAATTTTTGGACTTGTCCTCTTTTGACCCATCCATTATCTTTTACCCGCTTCTTCCATTTTGGGTCACGGGGGTTGCCAGTGCCCATGTCCAGCAATGACTGTGCGAGGGGCGGGGTACACCTTGGACAGGTCGCAAGTCCATCACAGGGCCTCTTTGGACCCAACAATACATATACACAAAGGACACATTTTCTTGCATACAGGACACTTCAACAGTTTTCACATAAAGATAATACTGTGTACATAACCTTAGTAATAGTACACAGTATCTTAGTAATATTACACAGTATACTGTGTACGTGACCTAAGAAAAAGTCCATAATATACTGTGTACATGACCTGACCTTAGTAAAAGTACTGGTACACAGTATACTGTGTATATGACCTTAGTTAAAGTACACAGTATAGTGTTCTTTTATGAAGCATCATCAAAACCAACAACATTCTGAAGGAAGTGACATGTTTAACAACTTTCCTCTAGTGTAATTTTATGTAATTTCAGTGTTTTCAATTGAGGGGTTGTCAGATATATTTTTTAAATCTAACACATGAAGTCTTTGCAGTTTTTAAATTACCTTAAAATTATAATTTTTTTAATTTGCCAGACTGACAAATTTCTACTTTGAAATTATTATGTCATTTACAGGATTTCTGCTCATGTAGTGATTTAATACCATTTATTTTTCATATTTGATCATTTACTACATTAATCACGGTACAGTTTCCTCTCACTATGGTTCTCAATATAATCAAGTTTAGCTCATCCAAACTGCCACAACACCTCGTTAATGCTATAAAACCATGTATACATTAATTATTTAGATATATATGATAAACTACAAACACCTGCAACTGACTCTCAGAGAGAACTTCATGCGTTTGGGGGAAAAATAAAGTTAAACGGAGAGACACATCTTTGTTACAATCTGGAGTATTTAATTATTTGTCTTTTAGAGTTAATATTTAGAAAAACTGAAGTAGTAGAAACGGCCTCTCTCAACGTGAGAGAAACTCAATAGGCTGTGCGCTCCCACGGTGGTGCACCTCTCTGTCCGTTCAGGAAAATACATTAGTTTTTAATATCAAAAGGTTTTTTTTTTATTATTAAATTTGCATCTTTTCAAGCTTTTCACCAGCTTCTGTCAAGCTAAAAGCCACAGCAGAAACATTACATTAGAAACGTCAGTGTGAAACTTTCCTCAGAAACTGACCTTCTCTTTGACATTTTCAAACGACGAGGGGGAAACGACAGAGAAACACACGAGGAAGACGTCCGTTTGTGGGTAGCTGAGAGGACGCAGCCTGTCATAATCTTCCTGACCTGAAGGCATTGATCACAAATTGACACAAAGACATTTATATGTTTATAAGTGGCAGAATCATGATAGAAAACTATAGATCATATTTACCTGCTGTGTCAAAGAGACCGAGCGTATAAGGCTCTCCTCCAATCATCACTGTCACTGCATAATTGTCAAACACCTAAAACAAAAGTTAAGAAACCATAAGGCAGTGCATGAGCTCAGTGTATTCCAGTCATGAAGAGACCTAAAGACAGCCTCAGGCTTCATTAAATCTTCTTACTGTTGGCACATATTCTGAAGGAAACTTGTTGGTTGTGTAGGAGATCAGTAAGCAGGTCTTTCCAACTGCACCATCTCCTACCACGACACATTTTATCGTCTGCATCTGCAAAACCACAGCAGAAAAAGGGTGAAAATGTGTCAACATACACCAGTTAGCAAACGAGACCTGAGAGAGGAAGTAAGACACACTTAGTACCATCTAAATAAACGTACACGACTACAAGAAAACACCAAGCAACGCACATCTAGAGCGTGACAAAATGATGGGAGACATGCCGATTTATCTGCAGAGCATTTTGATTACCGGGTACTTATTATTCCTTACAAAAAGAACTTTCAAAATTCTTATTCCTATTGTAGATGGGATTACTTAATGTTTGTCTCACGGATAAATTGGGATAACTACACTGCCTGGCCAAAAAAAAAGTTGCCACCTGGATTTGACTAAGCAAATAGGTACGAGTCTCCTACTGGATAATTACTGCGTGGGCGATTATCTTTCAGCTGGCAACAAGTTATTTAACCCCAGCTGGTGCAATGAGTTGCTTCTCATTTCTTAAACAACCATGTGGAAAGACACATCGCGTGATCATGGAAAAGATGTCAGTCTGTTTGAGACGGGTAAAATCACTGCCATGCATCAAGCAGAGAAAGCATCTAAGGAGACTGCAGAAACTACTAAAATTGGGTTAAGAACTGTCCAACGCATTATTAAAAACTGGAAAGATAGTGGGGACCCATCGTCTTCAAGGAAGAAATGTGGCCAGAAAAAAATTCTGAATGATCGTGATCGGCAATCTCTTAAACGTTTGGTGAAATCAAATGGAAGAAAAACAACAGTGGCACTCAGCGCTATGTTTAATAGTGAAAGTAAGAACATTTCCACACACACAATGTGAAGGGAACTCAAAGAATTGGGACTGAAAAGCTGTGCCTTAAGAAAACCACTAATCAGTGAGGCTAACTGGAAAAAAGGCTTCAATTTGCTAGGGAGCATAAAGATTGGACTCTGGAGCGATGGAAAAAGGTCATGTGGTCTGATGAGTCCAGATTTACCCTGTTCCAGAGTGATGGGTGCATCAGGGTAAGAAGAGAGGCAGGTGAAGTGATTACCCATCATGCCTAGTGCCTAGTCATCAATGCAAGATCTTGGTGAAAAATTAATGCAACACTGGATGGAAATAGATCTTGTGACATTGCAGAAGCTCAATGAAACAATGCCACAGTGACTGCATGCTGTAATCAAAGCTAAAGGCGGTCCAATGAAATATTAGTGTGCAACCTTTTTTTTTGATGGCAACTTTTTGGGGGGGCAGGCAGTGTATACTTTTATTCATTTATGAGGACTGCTCTTATTTCGTTATAACAGTTAGGGCTAAACTGTGCTATTTACATTCACTTTTGAAGTAAATTTGATTTCAATGGAGTTTCTTAAGAGCCCACACTTAATGTGTCATGATACAACACATTGTACTTAATTACCAATTTATCAGACATGCGTGTTCCTTAGATAGAAAACTTTACTAACTGGCTTTTCTATGTATGTGAATGTTCCTATAAAGTGCTCTGAGACAACTTTGTTGTGATTTGTCGCGATATAAACTGAATTGAATTGTATCCTGCTTATGTGGCATGATGGCGCAGTTGGTAGAGCTGCCGCCTCTTAGCAAGAAGGTTGCAAGTTCAAATCCAGGCCCGGGACTTTTCTGGATGGAGTTTGCATGTTCTCTCCGTGCATGCATGGGTTTCCTCCAGGTACCCCAGTTTCCTCCCACAGACTAAAAACATGCATGTTAGGCTGATTGGTAACTCTAAATTGTCTCTAGGTGTGAGTGAGAGAGTGAATGGTTGTTTGTCTCGTTTGTCTCCATGTGTCCCTGTGATGGACTGCAGACCTGTCCAGGGTTTATTCCGCCTCTCATACAGTGACAGCTGGACATGGGCACCAGCGACCACCATGATCCGAAAAGGAAGAAGTGGGTAAAAGATCATGGATCCTGCTTATGCAAACCATTTTTCCTTGTAAACTTTGTCAGGTTCACTTTTTAAAAAACTACTACAGAGGGTTTGCAGTGTTGCTTAGTGGTTTACAAAGCGGTTTTTCCTTCTTATTAGGGTGATCCTCATTGTTGGAAATGAGCCGGAAACGAGAACAGAAATACCAACAGGCTGCATATTCAATAAAAACCAAGTAGAAACTTTGAATACTTTAATCCCTCAACTGTTAAAGTGGACAGGCTGCAAGTTTATTAGCACACATGCTAAAGAAAAGCTCAGAGTGATTTAAAACCCATTAGAAACAACTAAATTACTATAAGAATCAGAAAAATCTAAAGTGTTACTTTGAATAAACGCACCTTCCTGATTAAGACAGCACGTTAGGTCGTCTTATAACTTTATGTAAACCAATTAAAAACAAGACACATGGAAGAAGTCAGTCAGGAAATGTCCCCACTTACAATTATTCTAGTGAATAGGGGAAAATCAAAGAGGTATATTAATATTATACACCTGAGAGGAAAATATTGTACCCTTTTTGCTGCTTTTAACATAATGCTTTGATGGAAGGCTTTTACACAACAAAACAGAAATCATTTAAAGGATATTTAGCTAGATTGATAAACTATTTACACCAGATGTGGATGGTAACTAATCAGATTACTGACAGAAAACTGGTAAATAGTTAACCATCCCTACTCTTTTTACTTTCATAAAGTTTAACAACCTAGACAACCAGGTAATGTATCCGTTTCTATAAATGTAAGAAATAAAAAATTAAGGCCCTTGGGTCTTACTAGGCTTGTGCGAACAAATATTACTAATGACGTGAAATAACTTCCGCATAGGTTTCATACCAGAAAAAAGCCCGAGTAAAAGAGAAGGCCTGTTTGCCCCAATGTGATCTAGAAGCGGATACCGACAACACTTCCGCTAAATAAACTGAACTCTGGAATAAAACCTGACATCTGAAACCTGCTGTAACCTAAAGCCAAAAACATTTAAAACCATAATGAAAAAGTTACCACTTAAAGTAAAAGGCTGGACGCTGATTCTAAACAGGATGGGAGTCAAACAAAGTTAGCTTTTGTCTAAACTGTAAACTCACGTCTTTAGGCACTTAAACTCCCATGGAGAGTGACTTGACTTCATGACAACCATAACGAGAAAAACATACATTTATATTCAGCACAAACGAGGCTGATAAGTGACCATTTAAGACAACTTTGATTTCTTTCCTACAAAGATGTAAGCCAGCACTAATTTTGAGCTTCATCGTTGGGGAACTTATGATATTTGTAAAAGTAATAAACGTTTTTATCTACATAATCATTTCAGGATCCTGCGTGATGTTTTTTTATGTGTACCACTGCATAATTAGCTAGGAACAGTTCAAATTAATCATATTTTTCTGCACCTACTCACCGTTTTTCTACCGACAGACTAGGCGTTGGTTGCATCCGGGTTTGTGGGTCTAATTACTTTCTGCGCATGCGCACATCACACTGTCCGCAGCTCTTGAGGGGGAACAAACACTGCCGCCTTGTGGACATTCCTAGAAGAGCACTATCTATCTATCTATCTATCTATCTATCTATCTATCTATCTATCTA